GTGAGGTTTCACCAGGGCACTCTGCTTTGAAGTCAAGCGTTCCCAGGTCTTCACACACAAGTTAGACCACGCACGGTTTCTCACCCCTTTTATTTCCCTCCAGGCTGGGGGATCAGGGGAAGAAGAGGCACATCTGCCACGTGCCTGAATGTGGCAAGACCTTCCGCAAGACCTCCCTGCTCCGGGCCCACGTGCGCCTGCACACAGGCGAGCGCCCTTTCGTCTGCAACTGGGTCTTTTGCGGGAAGCGATTCACGCGAAGTGACGAGCTACAGCGGCATGCCCGGACGCATACAGGTGGGTTGTCTCCTCTCTGCTTCTCTCCCACCTGCACCCCTGCTCTTTGAGTCGTATAACACTAATGGATAGGAAAAGCATTTTATAAATCCTAATTACTCTGGCATCTTCTCTGAGTCATCTGTATGACAACCATGTAAGGCAGGCATGGCCAAACTTGGCCCTCCAGCTGTTTTGGGACTACAGTTCCTATCACACCTGACCACTGGTCCTGTTAGCAAGGGATGATGGGAGTTGTGGTCCCAAAACATCTGGAGGGCCAGATTTGGCCATGCCTGATGTAAGGCAAACCTATGAGGCTGCTGTCGTTTCACAGATGGAGAGCTAAGACTTGAGAGGCAGTGGCCTAGCTCCTGCTTTGACGGTGAGCCTGTCTTTGGTCTGTACTATTGCAGGGTGGGGGGTTGCTCACATGATTAAAAGCTTCCTCATACAGAAATAAATTCCTCTGTATAGAAAATTAGATCTAATGGAGAAGTATTCTAGTCTAGCTTTCCCCAAACCCACTTGTTTTCTGTGGGCTGGAACTTTATATGGAAAAGTGTTGAGTTATATGTGTCCCCACCCGCAGGCTGGAGTGATGTAGCTCAGAGATGAGAGTTTACTACCTTGGAAAGGACTAAGCTAGATTCTTGCTGGAGGCCACCCAATGAGAGATTCCTGGGCTCACAGGTTGTGGTTATAACTACCCTACGCCAATTCTTCTCTAAAGCAACTGCCTCTGCGCTCACCCAAGCCTTAAACATGTTGCTGTTCAAGCATAGCTGCTGGCACCATAACTATTGCACAGCTACAGTGGCCGTACGGTGGCTGCTACAAGTGTGGTGGAGATTTGGGGCTCAGTATGTTGTTGGATTAAAACTCCCATCATCCCTGACTGTTAGCCATGCTGTTTGGAGCTGCAGGGAGATGGAGTCCAGCAAGGAGAACCACAGGCTCCCCACAACCCTAATGTAAATATCTGTTATAAGCTTTGCTTAAAGAAGGTACCCCAAACAGCAGGCTGAGACTCCTGTATGCTCCCTGTAGCATGCAGGACATGCTGAAGATGAGAAGCCATTCTTGTTATGAATGTCTATATATGTGGTTTTCATTTACTTATAAAAGCTAATAGCTTCATTCATTTTTCTGAAACCTTTTAAAAAATCAGTCCATCCAAGCCAAGTTCCTATCACCACATCTTATGTCAGTAAATCCCACCAGTTAATTTACACGTTTGTGTGAACTTGTATCGCGCATGCCAACGTCGCTCTCATTTTCTTCCTTTCGGCAGGCGACAAGCGTTTTGAGTGTGCCCAGTGCCAAAAGCGCTTCATTAGAAGCGACCACCTGACAAAGCACTATAAAACTCACCTGGTCACCAAGAACTTGTAGGGCTGGGTGCAATCGGAAAAGGAAAGGGAGCAGTGTGGGTGCCGGCGACCCTTTGCCACGAAGGAAGGTCTCTGTGAAAGGACAGCGACATGCCCAAGCAACCCTCCTGACTGGGACAACATCTGCACAAAGAAGGGAGTAACAGCCGCTGTTCTTTCCATCCGATGACCTCCTTGCACACTCTGTCAGAACCTCTTGGAAGGTGCATCAGACACTGTGGTTTCAGTCTGGGATGAAGGAGAATCAATGTCGCTTCCAAGCGAATTGGCTAAATATCAGCACAAAGCCCAGTAGCGGGCAGGGAAAAGGTGGGGGTGGGGTGGGGGAGGAGTTAGCAAGGCAAGGCGCATCCACCCAGTGGCCTGAGGAGCCCACCAAGCGAATGCCCTGCTCCGCCGCACCAAAGGGCCTCCTTGTGTGTTTGATAGTAGCACCAGCGAAACTATACCCCTCTTGTAATCTTGATTCCCTCTTCCCGTCCACCTCTATGTGCTTGTGAAGCTTTTGAATGGTGGGCAGGGAAGCCGCCCAAAATGGGACTCTCTCTGCACCCCCAGCACATTCCTACTTTATATTTAAAATTATAAATATCTATAAATATATATCTATATCTATATTAAAAAAGGAAACCTCCTTAGGAAGCCCCCTGTTTTTTCTACGGAGAAGGTTGCCTTATATTTTCCTCCAAATTATGTATTGTGAGTTGTTTTTTTAATTTAATGATTCCTCCTTTTTTAAAAGAAAGTCTCACTCCAAGGAAAGATTCAGGCACAGTCCCAAGCCCCTGTGCTAAGGCAAGAGCTCTGCACCCAGGCCTGTGAACTAGGGGAGTGGGGTGCTCTTGTGTGTACACACGGAGCTTTCTATGGTGTGCAAGCAGCAGCACTTTGCTCAGGAGAGTGGAGAAAATCTTATGTGTGAATGGGATCCCTTGTTTGTTTGTAGCAGAACTGATGGGTCAGAGCCATGTGCCCTGATCCAGACAGCCACGAGGGCAGCAGAAATCTGCTCTTAACACATGCGAGGCATTTGGCAAACCCTGTGGTGTATAGCATGCAGTACAGCACTGAACGAATGATGCAGCTCCATGTGTGGAAACAGATTGTTTTTAATGCATTGGAGTGATGGGCTGCAACCCAGTGGGAGGTTGCACACTGCCGAGCCCTATTGAAGTGAGCTAATTATTTGTGTGCCGAAATGCAAGCATTGTTTTTCCAGAACTGAAGGGTGCTTGCTCTCCTCTCTCCCTCCCACTCACCTTATGTTCCATCATATTTCTTTCCAGAAAACTAGTGTTTCCTCCCGCTTTTTTTTCTAAAACAGAAGTCCGATACAGCCCCTTTTGTGTATTATAGTGTATATTGTATCATAGACTATATATTGCGTTATGTGTTTCCTACATGTTTCAGAAGCATACGGCTTGTTATTTTTGAGCTTTTAAATTAAAAAAAAATCCACTTTATTTTTTAGTTGTAACGGCTTGAAGTATGTTTTTCTTTAAGTGGCAATTCCTTGCTGTTGTTTTTAATCAATGCTATGAAATTCGTCTGGCCAGTGTGATGCCAGCCCAGAAGGGGAGGAGTTGGGGGGGGGAGAAAAATCACATTTCTTGATAAATCCAATCGTTGGAAGCAAATCCAGCCACAGTTTGGGAACAAAGGATCATTTTGCTTTGCTGCATTTTAAAGAATGAAAGAGCAAGCACATTTAGGTGGCTTGCTGAGGTATAAAGAGATTCTAGAGAGGTGTTTTGAGACTATATGCAGGTGGTCGCAAGGGCAGCTCCTGTTGACAGTTTAGTTTACAATGCAAAAGCAAAGCTTAGTTGGCCAGGATGTACATTTTGAATTTAAGTTTTCTCTCTTTCTTACCATCCCTTTGTGTACAGCATTAACAACATTCACAGGTACGCTTTATTAATTTCATGTATTGATATGGCCTGTGGCTGGTGTATACGTTCCACAGGAACACACAGTGCTGATGTATTCAAAATGTTGAGCATGTTGTTGTTGGACTTTGCACACAGTAGCGGCAGGGTAAGTCATCATGGGACTCCCATTTCAGGCTATCCCCTGCCTATAAAACAAGCCTTACTGCAGGGCAGGCAAGGCAAACTTGCTTATACTTTGTGGATTCTTTCAGAGGCTCAAGCCAGCAGGAAGTTCTATGGCATACGTCTCACTGAAATGAACAGAAAGTATATTTCAGTGGGGCTTGTAACAGAACTTCCCAATGGATTGTACGCTCTAGTTAGCTGTCAGGAAGCCAACTAATCTTCCAGTGTGTGGGCTCAGAATATACATAATTCTTCCCACCAACCTGAATCTCCGTCCTGTTGCCCTCAAAGTCTTGCACATCAAGGCCTTTCCACCAACTTGGGGAAATAACCGTTTTGAGAGGTAGTCAGGAAAGAGAAATAAATGAACCCATGCTGTTACACTCCAGTTTGAAACTTGTCTTATTTACAAGAAATATAACATTTATTCGAAGCTAGTGTCTTGCCATGTTTTTGCTTCAGTAACAAGTGGCTTCCACGGTTGGCTGTCCAGACCAGTTTGCAGGAGATGAGGGTTGCAGAGGAAATGGGTGAGAGCTCAAATTCCCCCAGCGGGTGACTTTTTAAATGGATATCTGACTTACCTTCCCACCTTCATAAAATAATGGTGATTGAGAGGGCCGTGGGCGAGTTACAAAGGCAGTAGCACCAAACAGTTTGCAGCTGAAGGTAAAACTGAGTGTGAGATAGTAAACTTAAAAAACAAGTAGGAGTGAGGTGGTCCCATTTTGGGAAATGCTAGTGGATAATAAATTAAAATTATGGTTCTCAGGTAACAGCATAGGGAAATCTGTTTTCAGACTGCTTTACTGTTCTAGGCAAACACGTAGCTCAGAAAATACTTGGGAGTCAAGTTCTCATCCCGTCCATTCAAGGCTTCCTGAAATGAAGAGTTCTGTGGTCGTCCCACTTGCTGAGATTTCCAAGAGAGACATTACGAATTCCATCCTCTCTTCCCTATCCCCTGCACTGGCAAGTTAAGACTCAATCCATAGGAACCTGGTCTCCATGATCTCCATCTGCCACTATTGCTGCACAAGAAGGAACCCAAATCTGTGTCATCTTGGTCTCAAAATGGATTACTGTGCTACCCTTTGAGGGGTTCTTGGAAAATAGTGGTTGTAACGCCATTCGGTCCACTTTGACAGTCCGGGTCAATCATTTTCTTAACTGCCCTTCGGGAGGTCCCACATTTACTGTTGATCACCGCATTGAAATTGCAGCCTCTGCCACACGTTTTGGTGACGTACTCTGTAGGTGGGGGTGCAAGCACAGTGAGAGAGCTTAGTTCAGTGTTATTCCTGGTGACATACACTGGAAACATCAGTTCAGCTTGTATGTTTCCAAACCAGTCCAAATTCTTTTCCAAGAAGAATGAATGCAAGTGAAGCACACAGATCTTAACGTGTTTTCATGATCAAAATTTTCAAAGAATTAGGAATTTTCTGCAAAAGCCAACAGTAAGGAAGATTATACAGAGGGTTTTGTTTGTTTTAGTGCAGCCAGTTTATTTGTAAAGCTTTTTTTCTGTGACCTTTTTAAAACACGTATATTTAAAGAAAAACTTGAGAGAGGTCATAGAAAGGAAGCATTGCACCAAATATTACGACACAAGCTTACGACCTTTTGTCATCCTATAAAAGCTTATAAACTCCTGATGATGATTCAATAATAATATAAGCCAAGTTCACAAATGTCCCAACGGTTTCCGTGGCTGCACATTATCTTGGACTGAAACATGACAAAAATATCTTTTCTCAACAAACCTATTTTCTTGTCTTCCCCCATCCTAATAATAATTGCAGTTTCACAAACCCCTTGATCATACAGCGTAAGCTCAAAGCGCAGTGTGTGCAGACTCCAGCTTTGTAAGAAACATTATTGTAAAATATAAACTAAACTACAAATTGTATTCCATGCGAGTCACAAAGTAAGCCCGCTGAAATTAATGGACACAACTTAGTTTGAGTCAGGCGTTTTCTGCAGCGGCTCCCCGTTTGTGGAATGCTCTCCCCAGGGAGGTTTGTTCATTTTACATCTTTAGGTGCCGGGTGAAAAAGTATCTCTTCAACCAAGCATGGGTCTATGGCCTTCTAAATGTGTTTATGGGGGGGGGTATTGTTTTATTTTTGTTTTAACTATTTTGTGCTTTGATTCCTGCATTTTTATCTTGTGGACCTCCCTGAGATCTTCAGATGAAGGGCAGCATATAAATTTAATAAATAATAATAAATAACAGTTGTATACAGCCAGAAGGCCTTATATTTGTTTTAAAAGCATACTGACTGTGCTTAAGGATACACAGTGGTTTTAGATAATCATTGAGGTTGAGAATGAGGAGGAAGTTTATAACAGAATTTCTAATATGAGAGTAAAGCAAATTAGGTTTAACAGCTAGGGTAAAAAGGCACTGCCCCAGTCTTTGCCGAAGAGGAAATACTGTAAACCTGCTCACACTTTGCTTTTCCCTATCAGCACTACTTAAGATCTCGCCACATCCCCTACCTTTGATAGCATTTACAACAGCAACTGGCAATGGGGTGGGCTTCTCCATGGTCATGTTGTTGTGGGCGATGCGCTGTCCAGTGGCCGAAGACCGGGCAAGAGTTTCACGAGAGAAGAAGTAATCCAACAAGCGTCTGGTCATCAGCTCAGGCTTGTCGGTGGAGACTTGGGATAGGTCCTCCAGCTGGTGATGGGAAACGTAGACTTGCGAGTTGGGGACCAGTTCCAGCTTCGTCCTCTCATTCTCCTGTCCAACGGGAGAAGGTTATGTTACTCTATAAAGCTGCGCTATGATGTTGAAGCCCCGCCCCCTTTCTCCCACTCTTGTATCTAAGGATGCTAGACTGTGATGCAGCAGACCCATTCAGAACCAAGCAGAGGAGTATTTAACCGGCTCAAACATTCACTGACATGCAACAGCAGCAAAGCTACACTCTACAAAATGTTAGCTGTATTCAGTCCAGTTCACACAAGCAAAGCCGCACTTGGGTTTACCTTTTTGGTATTCTGTGTGGATTTGATTGTGTTGAAACCTACCTGGCAGGAAATTGTAATGCTTAGTAGTTGTATAATCAGGGCTGAGAATACTAGGCTCTCAAATCTGCACCGATCTAACTGAAATTCAATAACAGCTCATACTCATATTTAGAAGAGGAACAGGGAGAGGAAAATGCAAAATCTAGCACACCGCCAGTATCTCTCTTGATAACAGAGATGTAGGTTGGTGCGCATGTTCAGGACAACATTCTCTGTTTTAAGGACAAATCCCAGCTCAACTCCTGCACCCATTAAAGAAAGACAACATGGGTCACACATTGAGAGATTGAAGTGAAGCATGTTGTGCACATATCTTGATTTATTTCTTCGGAGAGCAAACACGCTTGACACTACAGGTCCATTTTCAAAAGCGGCGGGGCAGTTAGGGGACGAAGAGGAAAATTTCAGAATATTATATGGTGTCTACCTTGGCGATTGAGATATTTGAATGTTAGCTGGTGTACACTACTGTCGTGACAATTTTATATTCTGTATTTGAAAGCTCAATTTGTACACCTGTTCCCCAAAGGTCCAGGAGGAAAGCTTCTCAAAACATAGGTGCTTTATTGTTTGATTCTGTTTACGAGTCATGAGGAGGTGAAAGGAGATTCTACTAGGCAGCAGCATCAACCACTGCCTGTGCATGTCTCTCCTGATGTGGAAAGGCAAGCACCTGCCACTACTTGACTCAGACTAGTAAAGTCCAAGTGTTTGAATGGAATCATTGACTCCTACCCTCTTGAAAACAGGTGCTGAATACAGTTTTGAACTTGACATCCAGAATGACACCCTGAACATGTGCACCCATTTTCTTTCTGATACCTTCGGGGCTGATGCAACATTGCATTGCTTTGTATACAGTGTTTCCTGCCCGCTTTTGAAAATGGGCAGGAGCATCAAGCTAGATTCTACATTTCAGGGATGGTGTACAGGGCCTAGTTAAATGGTGGAATTCAGTGCCACAAGATGTAGTGACAGTCACTGATTCAGATGGCTTTAAGTAAAGGTAAAGGGACCCCTGACCATTAGGTCCAGTCGTGGCCGACTCTGGGGTTACGGCGCTCATCTCGCTTTATTGGCCGAGGGAGCTGGCATACAGCTTCTAGGTCATGTGGCCAGCATGACTAAGCCGCTTTTGGCGAACCAGAGCAGCGCACGGAAACGCCATTTACCTTCCCGCCGGAGCGGTACCTATTTATCTACTTGCACTTTGACGTGCTTTTGAACTGCTAGGTTGGGAGGAGCAGGGACCGAGCAATGGGAGCTCACCCTGTCGCGGGGATTCGAACCGCCGACCTTCTGATCGGCAAGCCCTAGGCTCAGTGGTTTAACCCACAACGCCACCCACGTCCCTTCAGATGGCTTTACAAGGAGATTAAACAAATTTGTGGATGATAGGGTGGGCTACCAAGAATCATGATGTCCCCAGGACCAGAGGGAGAATGTCGCTGGATATCTCTTGCTGTGGAGCAACAGTGGGAGTGCGCTACTGTCCTCACATCCTCATGGTGTGCTTCTCAGTGGCGTCTGTTTCACCATTGTGGGAAATGGGATACTGGACTCTATATGCTTTAGGTCTGAATCTGCAGGGGTTTTCTGCTTTCCTTATGAATAAGCACAGCGACTCTCATTCCACTTAATCTTCAAGGCTGGTACAACATTGCATTGTATTTTGCACTTCCCTCCTTCAGTTTGAAAATGGGTTGAAGCTGCTATTAAAACATGGAATATAAAATTGTGCCCTGCATGGCTATTTTATTCTGTTATTCTGTTATGTCCCATGGAGATGTTTCCAGACAGGCACTGAGAATGTGGCATTCCGATCAACCAAGTTAAACAAAAGGCCTCATTTAATGGCCAGACACAGGAAGCTAATTCATAAGGCATCAGGTCCCTGGCTCTCTGGGGGCCTTATCAGGAAATGCAAGTAACTGGTTGCACTCTGCCACAAAGCAACAGCTCAGTGGCACAGTTCTGCCTGAGTTGTGGTGCAAATGTGTAAACCGTTTTCCTCCTGAATCAAACAGAGACAGGTCTTGCTTCATGCCGCCCAATGTTCCCTCTGAATGAACGCCTTACAATATGTTTAACATCATTGCAGCGTCCAGTCAGAGAGAGACTTCTTCCCCCATCACCTACCTCCATTGGCAATGCCCATACAGGTGACTCATCAGACAGTGTCTCTTGCACATGGTTGTCCCATGTGCTGGTGGCATCACTGAGCCCAATGGGACTTCCTGAACCATCTCCTGCATTTATCCAGGGTGACAAGCCACCTGGTTCTGTGTTTAGTGTCCTCCAAACTGGTGAGATATGTGGCACAGTGGCTGGCGCGTGCCTCTGATCTTCCAGAGAATGTGGTGGCTGCAGACCACTGACCTGAAAGAGATACAGATACCTGGGAGTAAAAAAGAAGAGAAAGAGAGTGGTATATAGACTTACATAGGAAGCTGCCTCATAACAAATCGGATCATTTGTCTACCGAGCCTGACGTTATCTTTTTTAAAAAATAATGTTTTATTGATTTTATGTACAGTGGTACCCCGCAAGACGAACGCCTCGCAAGACGGAAAACCCGCTAGACGAAAGGGTTTTCCGTTTTGGAGGCGCTTCGCAAAACGAATTTCCCTATGGGCTTGCTTCGCAAGACGACAGCCCATAGGGAAATCTCCGGGACAGCGGGGAAGCGCAGCGCGTCTTCCCCACTGTCCTTGGACCTCCTCCCGCCGCCGGACATCGGAACGAAGCTCCGATGTCCGGCGGGGGGGGAACGTCTCCTCCCTCCAACGGACATGGGAACGAAGCTCCGATGTCCGGCGGGGGGGGGGGAACGTCTCCTCCCTCCAACGGACATGGGAACGAAGCTCCGATGTCCGGCGGGGGGGGGGAACGTCTCCTCCCTCCAACGGACATCGGAACGAAGCTCCGATGTCCGGCGGGGGGGGGGAACGTCTCCTCCCTCCAACGGACATCGGAACGAAGCTCCGATGTCCGGCGGGGGGGGGGAACGTCTCCTCCCTCCAACGGACATGGGAACGAAGCTCCGATGTCCGGCGGGGGGGGGGAACGTCTCCTCCCTCCAACGGACATGGGAACGAAGCTCCGATGTCCGGCGGGGGGGGAACGTCTCCTCCCGCCGCCGGACATCGGAACAAAGCTCCGATGTCCGGCGGGGGGGGGAACGTCTCCTCCCGCCGCCGGACATCGGAACGAAGCTCCGATGTCCGGCGGGGGGGGGAACGTCTCCTCCCGCCGCCGGACATCGGAACGAAGCTCCGATGTCCGGTGGGGGGGGAACGTCTCCTCCCGCCGCCGGACATCGGAACGAAGCTCCGATGTCCGGCGGGGGGGGAACGTCTCCTCCCTCCAACGGACATCAGAACGAAGCTCCGATGTCCGGCGGGGGGGGGGGAAACGTCTCCTCCCTCCAACGGACATCGGAACGAAGCTCCGATGTCCGGCGGGGGGGGGGAACGTCTCCTCCCGCCGCCGGACATCGGAACGAAGCTCCAATGCCGGGCGGGGGGGGGGGGAACGCCTCCTCCCGCAGCCCGGCATCGGATGGCTGTCCTGAAGACTTGGGGTGGGAGGAGGGTTTTCCTTCCCACCGCCAACATTCAGAATGCTGTTCTGAATGTTGGCGGTGGGGAGGAAAAACCCTCCTCACACGCAAGCCCCGGGAACAGAGGAGAAGCGCTGCGCGCCTTCCCCTCTGTTCCCGTACCTGTCCTGAAGGCTTGCGGTGCGGAGAAAAGCCCTTCTCCGCACCGCCAGCCTGGCAAGCGGTTTCCCTAGGAACGCATTAATTGATTTTCAATGCATTCCTATGGGAAACCGTGCTTCGCAAGACGAAAAACTCGCAAGAAGAAAGAACTTGCGGAACGAATTAATTTCGTCTTGCGAGGCACCACTGTACAATCTTTTCAACAGAGTACTTTACAACAAAAATAAACCTTTACAACAGAAGACTTTACAACCAAAATAAACCAAGATAGAAGCAGTAACATGACTCTCATGTTTTCATTTGTACTAAATTCTTCTCAGATTTCTTTATTTTACTATTCTTTAACTTAAATCTTCTTTTAATTCCTTGTTCTTAACCTAAATTGCATATTTGTCCTCTACAATTTTCCAATTACTTATACCTCCCACCCTCTTTAACCATTACTTCCCTTCACCCATGTGCAATCTTCTCTTCATATTGTTATTTCTTGTTGTGTTGACAGCTATTAAATTTGTTTTTCCATTTGTATTGTAATATTCTCTTGTATCCTTGTGTACTTCCAAGCCTGACATTATCTACTCTAACCGGCAAGGGCTCTCCAGGGTCCTACCCACTACTTGCTACCTGATCCTTTTAAAATAAAAACTAGAGAAGTTGGAAATTGAACCTGTATTCACACAATCAATGTCAGCTGTTGACCTGGAAAGAAAACTTTCTATTCTTGGGTACTTTCTATTCCTGGGTATAGAGGCAGCAATTTTGTCAACTACCTACAGGCTGGTCTGAACTTCAAGCCTGAGACTCTTAGCTTTACACCAGAGAATTGTCATAAAGATGACAATTGTAGTGGAATACTAAACCATAACAGCTCTCATTCACAATTCCACTTTACTCTTCAAAGAAAACAACAACCAAGTGATTGTTTTTTATCCCCTTTACACGGAACCTTTACCTGTGAAGGTGTGACATTCTCCAGCACTGCCACCAGGCTTTTGAGGAACTGAATATTGTTTTCATTGACATCTGGGGAAAGAAAAGCACATACAGACAACAAGAACTGTACATCAGACAGGATTTCTGGGAAATCTCTCAGAAAAGGACTGTGTGTAGTTATCTCCCCATGATGTGCTACCTGGATTTGAGAGCAGACACCTGTGGCTGCTGTTTTTAAAAGCATAGTAAACCCACAACTTATGTGGGAGTTACATTCCAGGGATCGTGCCTAAAGCCAAAATTGTGTATAGTCAAAACACATTGGGTTCTATGATAAATGAGATTGCCAAAGCCTTTTTTCCTGAACATCCAACCTCTTTCTCCTCCTCCTCCTCCTCCTCCTCCTCCTTTGCCAAGCTTATAAAACAGAATGTGTGCAAATTAAATGTACATAAGTTGCAGGCTTACTGTACTTCCTATCTGGAAGGGATCACATGGATGTTTTTTTCCTACCCTTCCCTTTTCTTGGCAGCGCTGTCTGCTTCACCTTTAGCTTCAACATATATGAAGAGACAAGCAGCAGTGCTATAGGGACACCTCAGTGGTAAAGTTCAGCAAAGAAGAAAAACGCAACATGCCCGATGCTTGCAGTCATTAGATCTAAGCATAGCTATGGCAGACCTCTCTTGCCTGCATGCACTTAATAGACACAACAAGGAAGTGATTGGAAGCGGCGGAATTTTCAAGCGTGTGGATTACATTGTAAATAATCAGGAAGTCATGTGGAAAACAATAAATGACTTCATTTTGCCCACTGGGGAAGACAACAGACGTACGGTACTTGTATGTTTCCTGCTGCAAGGCACATGGCAACTCAGAGCAGGAGGTGGCTATATGAAGTGACAAAAAGGCCCAGGGGGAAGGGTTAAATTCCCCAGGGCTGCATGCTTGACACCACCTCCTTGGTTGCAGTTTACACTTTATATAACTTGTGGAGGCCCTGTTCCCATAGCCATATTGGTAAGGTAAAGGTAAAGGGACCCCTGACCATTAGGTCCAGTCGTGGCCGACTCTGGGGTTGCGGCGCTCATCTCGCTTTATTGGCTGAGGGAGCCGGCGTACAGCTTCCGGGTCATGTGGCCAGCATGACTAAGCCACTTCTGGCGAACCAGAGCAGCGCACAGAAACACCGTTTACCTTCCCGCCAGAGCAGTACCTATTTATCTACTTGTACTTTGACATGCTTTCGAACTGCTAGGTTGGCAGGAGCAGGGACCGAGCAACGGGAGCTCACCCCGTCGCGGGGATTCGAACCGCCGACCTTCTGATCAGCAAGTCCTAGGCTCAGTAGTTTAACCCACAGAGCCACCCGCGTCCCTAGCCATATTGGACACTACCCCTAGTATGCAAGATCATCCTTTCCTCTGTTCCTCTCACACCACATCCCTTGTTGAGACGTCCTCATGGACTGCCTCCTTTTGAAACTTCCAGTACAGACTGGAGAGAGCACTGGTGCGAAGCTCTAATCCCCCCACTACAAGCAGCATTTAGGTGTTACTGTTTTGTTTTTTTTTACCAAAGAGAGGGTGTCCCGTTCCCAGCACCACCTTGGCTGGTGCTCCTCCACCTGCACCATTCCTGATGGACAGGAAGTCGTTCTGCTCCTCTAAGTTCTGGGTGAGAGCTTTCAGCTCACGGTTCTCCAGCTCCAGCTCCTGGATCCTCTTCTCCTGCCGCACAGCAGCCTCCATCCGAGACGCCAGCGCTCTCCTCAACTCTGCCACCTGCCGCTCCAGTTCTCTGATCAGTTCAGCGTACAGACTCGTCACTCTGCTGTTGTCCGTGACAGGCGTGCATTCGTGAGTGTTTTGATGACAGGAACCCATCAGCTGGTGACTCAGTGACGGGGGTTGTGACAAATCCACTCCTGGTGTGGAAGGGGCAGAGATGGACATGTAAGGGGCTGCATGGGCAGCCTCAGGATTTTCTGGAGTCCTCCTGCACTGTGGCATACTGAAAGGACACTGGCTATGGAGATCCAAATTCTGGAAGACTTGTCCGTAAGACATTCCCTGTAGTTCCAGCACTGGAGGGACTGGAGGAGCAAGGCTTGGACTAGTGTGTCTTCTACCAGCAAGCTTGGCTTTTTTCCGGTTTTTGCCTTCTTCAAATGAGCATGTTAGGGGAGAGCAGGCTTTTCCAGCGCTCCTTAGTGGTTGGGTGCTGGAAGCAGACAAAAAGGAGGAGGAAGTTTCAAGAGAAAAGGATCTGGAAAAGCCTAGAAGCAACTACCACAGAATAACTCTTTCTTAGGAATCGGCTGTGCCGCTTTTAGGTTCCCCAGAATCTTCCCTGTCCATTCTTGCAAAAAAAAGAAAAAAGAAAAAAAAGAACTTTCTTTTCATTAAAAACAGTAACATGAAAGTGACTAGCGCTCATTGCAAAGGAAATCTTGACACAGGGGAAAATAGCGTCTTTTCTAAAACAGAGACTTGAGTCCCTGAGTGTTCCTTAATTTCAGACGGCCCATTTGAACTCATTAGTAACCTGCATGGTCCCAATTTACTTCCTAAAGTGTAAATGCTGGCATTAAAAAAAACAACAACGCAACACTTGCTAGTGAGGACGCTATCCCTCCAAACTGCTAAAAGTCTTGTTATCTCGCCTAAATTGTACCCCACCTTCTATGCTGCATGGCTCTCCTACAACTCCCCCCCCCATCCTGTCATTTTTGCAATATGAATTCCTACTGCAACTCAACATTACCACTGGAATGTCATTTTTCATTCTTCCGATGGCCCTTTACAAGCACATCCCACTAGAAAATACCTGGTGACAGTATTGTGCCTGGACTTTCTCCATACCTGACACATTCTTCAGCCACTCGTCGCTGAGAGGTCAGCCTGTGGGGCTGGTGAAAAGTGGAACTCTCCAGAGTGTTGCCTTTCATTCTTGCTTCCTCCTAAAGATTATCATCCATACGTTGCTGGACAGTCTAGGATTAGGAGCTTGTTGGGTCTGTACACCTTCAGCTATTGGTCCCCATCTTTGAAGAGGCCAGCACCTGCATCAGAAACTGTCAAGACCAACCCTTAGTTTGAGCCAGAGTTTGATAGAATTTGTTGTCAGCGAAGACATGGGAGCATGTAAATAAATCAAGAATGAAGTGTTTCAAAGCTTCTGCAAGGGTGCCCGCCCTGGTCACCAAAAGCCTTCTCCCACGAGTCTGAGTTTAAGGCTACATATATACCATCCATTTTAAACATATTATTTCAACCAAAGATTCCTGGGAACTGTAGTTTACCCCCTCACAGAGCTACAGTTCCCAGCACCCATAACACACCAAAGTTTCTACATTAAAAAAAATAAATTAATATAATTTTAATAATACAAAACAATCCGCTCCTCATCTTGTAGAGGAGACAAGGAGAATCTAAAGTATGATAATAATAATAATAATAATAATAATAATAATAATAATAATAATAATAATTATATCTGCCAATATAGTCCATCAGGTTTTATTGTTCATTTATGCAAACAAAGACAATGATGAAATACAAAGATGTCTCCCAGTAACTTACAAATTTTTGGGGCTGCTATGAACATTGTGGACTTGAATTTTGATACTTCCCATAATTCTTTGGTGGAAGTAATGCACTTCAAGTGTATGGTGTGGAAGAAAAAGGTTTTGCAGTACAGGACTTCCCTATCCTTCCCCATTATTCATATATTGTTTTACCATACCTTGCTTCCATTTCTCCCCCCCCCTCATAGATCCCCTTTTCTTTTTTGCCGCCTTGTTCCCCTCCCCTCCTCCTCTTCCTCTTCATTGCCATCCTTCAGCTAGGCCTTAGGGCTTTGAGGTCTAGGACACTCTTTCTGATGCCACACTAAGATGCCATCAAGCATCTTCACAACTGGGTAACCAAAACCAATCTGCACAACCTGGCATTAGGATCAATGTCTTCTCAGTCAAGAGGGCATAACTTAGAAGTAAGCGGGATCTCTAAGACATACCATTTTACAAAACTTAAATGCTGTTAATGTTGCTTCAGCAGAGTTTATTTATTTCTTTATTACATTTACGTTCCACCTTGCCTCCAAGGTGGTGCATGTGCTCCCCCCCCCCATTTTTATCCTCCTAACAACCCTGTGAGGTAGGTTAGGTTGAGAGCCACTGACTGATCCAAATGAACTTCATGGCTGAGTGGGGCTTTGAACTCCGGTTTCCCTGGTTCTTGTCCAACACTCTAACCCCGTGGTTCCCAATGTGGGGCACACGCCCCACAGGAGGGCAATTCGAGAATGAGTTATTAACAGTTAATTGTCTTTTAGGCTTCCTCCACATGAATAGGAGTTCACTTTTTGAATTATAAGAATTATATGTCACGGGGGGGGGTGGTAATCAGGATTTTAGAGATGCTTAGATGAGGCATGGACAAAAAAAGGTTGGGAACCACTGCTTAAACCACTAGAGTTTTTGTTTTTTTACTGCATTTTGTATGCAATTATATATAATATACATGTCTAAAATTGTACCCGAGCTGGTGAATGCACACACACAATTTTAGAATTCAATAAATTAATCAATTGCAAGAAGTGAAGTATTATTATTATTATTAATTATTGACTTTATATGCCGCCCTATACCCGAAGGTACTATTCCGTTTCTTTCAAAATCACAGCGCTGGGACCTGTTTTCTAACGCAGGGTGGTTGACACCTGGAAGATATTGAGTAGACCGTGCAAAAAAAAATAGTGCCACTGGGCATGTGCAGACTACACCTCTCATTTCTAGAAGCAGCACTGCGTCGAGGCCCCACGAGCTTCCCTGAGCAGCCCCTTCTCACCCCAACTGCCGGCTTCTGCCTTCCCACCCCAAAGACAGAAGAGACCCTGTACCTTTAACAGAACCTCCATAGGGTCTGTTTACAAGCTTGGCGCAGCGTCCCCCGGACGTCACGCTCGGCTCTCCGCGCCTCCTCCTGCCCTTCTCCTACTGGCCGCGGAGCTCTTTCCTTCTGCCTCCTCATTGGGCCGCCTTCCGCCGCCTTCCCATTGGCTGCCGAGGGGAGGCGCCTTCTCGCCTTCCCTATAGACTTTTCAGAAGGTAGACTAGTGACGCGCCGCCCAGCTTCCGGGCCGATTTGGAAAGTTCATTACCTAGGGACCTGAGAGATGGTCAGTTCTTTTGCGGGGCGAGGCAGCGGAGCACCAGGCTTCTGCCGGCAGCTGACAGTAGGCGGCGACGGAGGTGGACGGGAATCCTGTGGTTGTTTGAAGGAAAGACAGCTTTCCCAGTCATAAAATAAATGAATCATAAACTGGAAATTGAAATAGCATTAGAACCAGATTATTGGGGGGGGGGATGGAGGCAGTGAGAGATTTTACTTTCTTGGGTTCTGTGATCACTGCAGATGGTGACAGCAGTCACGAAATTAAAAGACGCCTGCTTCTTGGGAGAAAAGCAATGACAAACCTAGACAGCATCTTAAAAAGCAGATACATCACCTTGCTAACAAAGGTCCGTATAGTTAAAGCTATGGTTTTCCCAGTAGTGATGTATGGAAGTGAGAGCTGGACCATAAAGAAGGCTGATTGCCGAAAAATTGATGCTTTTGAATTATGGTGCTGGAGGAGACTCTTGAGAGTCCCATGGACGGCAAGAAGATCAAACCTATCCATTCTTAAGGAAATCAGCCCTGAGTGCTCACTGGAAGGACAGATCCTGAAGCTGAGGCTCCAATACTTTGGCCACCACATGAGAAGAGAAGACTCCTTGGAAAAGACCCTGATGCTGGGAAAGATTGAGGGCACAAGAAGGTGACGACAGAGGACGAGATGGTTGGGCAGTGTTCTCGAAGCTACCAACATCAGTTTGACCAAACTGCTGGGGGCAGTGGAAGACAGGAGTGCCTGGCGTGCTCTGGTCCATGGGGTCACGAAGAGTCGGACACAACTAAACAACTAAACAACAACATTGCTGCTTCATCCTAGCTCCTGCTTGCTAGCAAGGCAGAGCCAATGAGCAAGCAGGCAGTGGCTGCTGCTGCTCCTTGCCATCATCATCGTTTACTCGCTCATCCCTTCTGGACCAGACAAAGAGGCAGGTTCTGACTCTCAGGGAATCATAGAATTGCACAGTGGTACCTCGGGTTAAGAACCAGAAACCAAGAGGACAAAAACTTTACAAAAGAACGGGGGGGGGGGTTTGTTGGGATTCGCAGGATACTGGATAAGTCTGCAGGCTTCGACAGGATGATGCAATACTCTGCTGGGTCAGAGTGACTCAGCAGGAGTGTGATTAGTGTAATTGGCTATCACCTGTTTTAAAAAGGAAAGCCTGTTTAACAGGGTGTGTGGTGGTTGTGCTGTAGTGTGGTGGTGCTGTCGTGGAGAGTATTCGTTTGTAAGTACTCTGTATGGACTGTTTCTTTTGTAAATACCTGTATATAGCTCACATTAAAAAGGACTGCACTGAAAAACCTGGAACTCTTAATGCTTTGCTGAAAACGCCGCGTGGAATACGCGACAGGGTTATGGGCCCAGCACGCTTCCGCTGCGCAAGAGTACAGGTGGCAGTTATCTAGCCGTGGGTGCTGGAGGTGAGCTGCAGGGATGGAGCAGTCCAGAACTGGCGTGTTGCTGGAGAAGCTGACGGCCACAAACTACAGCATCTGGTCGGTCCGCATGCAACACTTCCTCAAGCGTGAGGGCCTGTGGAAAGTGGTGGAAACCACACCGCAGCCCCCTGAATGGGATGAGGACGACGATGAAAAGCTGGCACTAGCAGAGGCCCAGCTTGAAAAGGATGAGAAAGCTTTGGCTACGATCATCCTTGGAGTGGACGACAGCCAGCTAGTCTACGTAGCTGATAAGGTGACGGCAAGTGAGGCGTGGAATGCGCTCAAGGCTGTCCATGTGCGAGAGACAGCTGGCTCACTGATAACACTGACCAGGAGACTGTACCGGTGTCGGAAGAAACCGGGGGACTCCCTGGTAAACCACCTAAAATTCCTAACAGGCTGTTTCCAGGAGCTAGCCTTAAGAGGGAGGCCTGTGGGGGAAGAGGACAAAGTCTTTATAGTCCTGAGTTCCCTTGATGACAGCTATGATATGCTGGTCAACTCCCTAGAGTCTGTAGAGACTGATAAACTGACTCTGGAATACGTGACCGGACGGTTGTATGCAGAGGAGGACAGGCGTGCAGAGCGAAAGATGACCTCAGCCCAGCTGTTGGAGCATCCCAGAGGGAACAACAGCCGGGAAGAGCAGAGGTGTCGGGAGCCGGAGAAACAGCCAGGAGGAGCTGCTGCAGACCAGCCGGTGGTCAACAAAGTAAAAAGGTGTTTTTGCTGCAAGTCCAGTGGACATCTGCTGCGGGACTGCCCAAGAAAACAACAAAAACAGCAGAAGCACAGGAGGCAGCAGAGGAGTCTACCGCTTGGGTGTCTGCAGATGGTCAAGAAAATGAAGAGCTGTGGGTTCTGGACAGTGGAGCTTCTCAAACCTTTTGTAAAAGAAAAGGATTGCTAACTGATGCTAGGGCTTCAAACAAAAAACATGTAAGTCTTGCTACAGGCCAGAAAGCTAATGTGGTTTGTGAGGGGGAGGTTGTGTTCCCACAGCTGGGACACACATTCAGGAATGTATTGTGTGTGCCTAGTTTGCAAAACAATCTCCTGAGCATTCCTGATTTGGCAAAAGCAGGCTTTGAAGTAAATTTTGTGGGAGACCAGTGCCAGATAAAGCAAAATGGGGCAGTGTTGGCAAATGCTAGCCTTAGAACTAATATGTATGTACTGCAGTGTGAATCTAAGGTTGCGAATGTGCAAAATGTCCCGACCCATGATATGTGTATTCATCTCCTGCACAGGCGTCTGGCTCATGCTAGCTATAAGGTGCTAAACAAAACATTGGAGTTGTGTGGGGGGATGAAGAACATAAAAAGTTGTGATAATTACTTAGACTGCAATATCTGCAAGGAGGTTAAAAGCAGGGCTTGCCCAGTAGCAAGAGCAAGCCAGAGAGAAACCAAAAAACCACTGGAGTTGATTCATGCTGATGTAACTGGTCCTTTTCCACCAAGTGTCTCCCACAACAAGTACTGTTTGATCCTAGTGGATGATTTTTCTAGATTTGGCTGGGTCTATCCATTAAAGCAAAAGTCTGACGTTGCCCAAACTTTGAAGTTCTGGGTAAGAAGGGTAGAAAGGCAACTTGGTGAAAAGGTGTCCTCTATTCAATCAGACAGGGGAGGGGAGTTTATGGCAAGCTCCCTAAGAAACTGGTTGCGTACCCAAGGGATTAAACATAGGCTTACCAATGTGGCCACGCCTCAGGAGAACGGAGTAGCAGAGCGTAGGGGAGGTGTCTTGCAGACACAAATGAAAGCATTGTTAGCAGATGCAAATCTTCCAATTAAGTACTGGGCTGAAAGTATTAAGACCGCGAATTATATTGGGAATCGCTTGTGGTCAAGGGTACTAGATGACATACCCTATAAAGTTCTCTATAACAAAAGTCCCAGTTTGCAACATTTGAGAATCTTTGGGACAAAGGCATGGGTTGACATACCTGTGAAAAACCGAAGAAAAGGTGGGAAAAGGGCACAGCAGTTGCTATTTCTTGGGTATGAAAGTGGTACGAAAGCCTACAGGTTTGAAGATGATAAAAACCTTTTGAGTTATAGTCGATCAGCCAGCTTTAATGAGCAAAGAAATTGGCCCAAGATACATGCAAACCTGCTGCCAGAAAAGGTTTTACTGCCGAGCGTACCTGATAAGGCAGTTGAAACAAAGCTAAGAACTGGCAGCTCTCCCAGAGAAACTGAAAGGGAGGAAGTAAAGGTTGAGCATTTTTCTCCAGCTGCTAGCATGGAGCAGGGGAGAGAAGAAAGTGCAACAGGGACAGGAGGAGGTAAATCTCCAGAGTCAATCCACCCCAAAAGCAGTCCTGAAGGTAGCCCAGGGGGTGAGATTAATGAACCAAGGAGGTCTGCAAGAAGTAATAAAGGTCAACCTCCAGACCGTTATGGGTTCCCAGCCACCATAAACCAGGTTTGTGTAACTGAGCCAGAAAACTTTGAAGAAGTGCAAGAGTTACCTACTCTAGAGAAAGAGGCGTGGTTAAAGGCAATGCAGGCAGAATATAACTCTCTGCTAAACAACAATGTGTTTGTACCTACAGAATTGCCTGAAGGTAAAAAGCCCATAAGCTGTAAGTGGGTTTTTAAAGTGAAAAAGCTGGCTGATGGTAGTTGTCAGAGGAAAGCCAGGTTGGTTGCACGGGGCTTTACACAGAGGAAAATGATACATTATGATGAAGTGTTTGCCCCAACAGCAAAGGCTGAAACAGTAAAATCAGTTTTAGCAATGGCAAGTCTGAGAGGGTTAAAAGTTAATCATTTTGATGTTGCCTCAGCATATTTAAATGCTCCTATTGACGCTGAGGTATATTTACAGCAAATACCAGGTTATGAGCTAGAAAAAGACAGCATGGTGTTAAAACTGCAAAGGGCACTATACGGTTTACACCAAAGTGCACGTCTATGGCATGAATGCATAGACACAACTTTGAAAAAGATGGGATTCAAACAAAGCCTGGCTGATTCCTGTTTATATTCAGCAATGGTGCAAGGAAGTGTTTGTTATTTACTTTTGTATGTTGATGATATCTGTCTAATAACAACTGCACAAAAGCAAGTGTCTTGGTTTATAAACAGCCTAGGTAACAAATACAAACTGAAGTATTTGGGAGAGATTAAGAATTACTTAGGAGTAGAGGTTCAGAGAAATGAAGAGGGCGTTTACTCTCTGAGTCAGAAGGAAAAAATCGAAAAGTTACTGAAGACATATGGAATGGAGAGGGCAAATGAGGTTGACACTCCCATAACTACCCAGTACAAACATGAACCAGAAGGGCAAAAATGTGAGAATGCAACAGCGTTTCATTCTCTGTTGGGTTCTCTGTTATATTTAAGTTGTTGGACAAGACCCGACATAACATTGGCAGTGCACATGTTAAGCCAAAGAAGTGCAGACCCGGCTCAGAGAGATTGGGTAGCACTTAAAAGAATCCTAAGGTATCTGAAAGGCACAAAAGATTACAAACTGGTGCTGGATACAGGATATGATCAGCAAGTGTATGCATACGCTGATGCCAGCTGGGGAGACAGAGAAAATGGAAAGTCTACCACTGGCTATGCCATATATATTGGAAATGCCCTGGTTCAGTGGAAATCCCAGAAACAAACATTTGTTGCCACAAGTACTTGTGAAGCAGAGTACTCAGCCATAAGCGAATGTGTATCACAAATAGAGTGGTTTGCTTGCCTAACAAAAGAGCTTGGAATACCTTCTGAAATGCCAATCACTGTGCTAAGTGACAACATGGCTGCACAACAGCTTGCTAACCAACAGAACTTTAAGAGCAAGAGTAAACATATTGCGATAAGATACGGAAATGTGAAAAATGCTTTGGAAAGAAATGTGTTAAAGGTACAGCACTGTAACACAAAATGTAATGTGGCAGATTTGTATACAAAATGTTTGGATGCTCCTAAATTTCGAGACTTAAGAGAATTATTGGGTCTCAAGCCTTTGACTTAAGGAGGAGTGTTGGGATTCGCAGGATACTGGATAAGTCTGCAGGCTTCGACAGGATGATGCAATACTCTGCTGGGTCAGAGTGACTCAGCAGGAGTGTGATTAGTGTAATTGGCTATCACCTGTTTTAAAAAGGAAAGCCTGTTTAACAGGGTGTGTGGTGGTTGTGCTGTAGTGTGGTGGTGCTGTCGTGGAGAGTATTCGTTTGTAAGTACTCTGTATGGACTGTTTCTTTTGTAAATACCTGTATATAGCTCACATTAAAAAGGACTGCACTGAAAAACCTGGAACTCTTAATGCTTTGCTGAAAACGCCGCGTGGAATACGCGACAGGGTTAAGTTATTTAGGAGACCACTGTAAGCAGATGAAAACATTAGCAGGATTTCGATTTCACTTGTAGCGTAACAATTACAATGGATAATATGGATTGATACAGAACAGGCATCCCCAACCTTCGGCCCTCCAGATGTTTTGGACTACAATTCACATCATCCCTGACCACTGGTCCTGTTAGCTAGGGATCATGGGAGTTGTAGGCCAAAACATCTGGAGGGCAGCAGGTTGAAGAATATGTAGTATTAAATGTTTTAAATGGGACTCCATGGAGGGGATGGGAGTTCCGAAATTCGGAGGAATCTCTGTACATGGATATATACAGTGGTACCTTGGGTTAAGAACTTAATTCATTCTGGAGGTCCGTTCTTAACCTGGAACTGTTCTTAACCTGAGGGGCCTCCCGCTGCCGCCGCGCCACCACTGCACAATTTCTGTTCTCATCCTGAAGCAAAGTTCTTAACCCGAGGTACTATTTCTGGGTTAGCTGAGTCTGTAACCTGAAGCATCTGTAACCCGAGGTACCACTGGAGAGTTGGAAGGGATCCTGAGGGTCATCTAATCCAATGCAGGAATCCTGCCCACAGCCATCGCTGGGTGGGCTCGAACCACCAAACTTTTGGTCAACAGCCAGACACACTGACCCACTGCGGCCGTAGCTCAGGGGTAGAGCACGTGCTTTGCATGCAGAAGGTCGCAGGTTCAATCTCCAGTGCAGGCATAGGCAAACTCCGGCCCTCCAGATGTTTGGGACTACAATTCCCATCATTTCTAGCTAACAGGACCAGTGGTCAGGGATGATGGGTATTGTGGTCCCAAACATCTGGAGGGCCGGAGTTTGCCTATGCCTGCTCCAGTGGCTTCTCCAGGTAAGACTGGGAGAGAACTCCCCTGCCTGAAATCCTGCACAGTTGCTGTCTGTCACTGTGTGGAGACAATATTGAGCTTGATGGACCTATGGTCCGACTCACTGTAAGGCAGCTTCCTGTGCTCCTCAGTGAACAAGTAGGATGCCTGGCGAAGAAGAGAAGCACATTCAGGGAGATCAGGTCAGTCAGCCCCTGCTAGGGTGTGGGTCCTCCACAGATGCCCACCCATGGGGACAAGCCTTGAATTAAAACAAGGCTGCCGTCCTAAATGTTTTCCTTTACCTGTGTAGTTTGAAGTCAAACCATGTGGGCAAATGTACAGACCAAGGATAGCCCATAACAGGGTGGTGTTTTGCTTATTATTATTACCAATGATCAGGGTGGATTTGATTTAAATCAAATTGATATAAATCACGATTTAAATCACTAGTCAGTACAACTTGATTTAAATAATTTTTTTTACAGAAAGACTCATTCTTGCTGGTATAATCTTAATATTTACAACCAGATGAAGGTTTCATTTTTGGAATAATAAATTTTCAGAGTAGTTTTCACAGTTATATCAAAAATTACTGATTTGGTTATACTATTAGAAATACATAGACAGATAATTTTGAAATTATTGTGAGGTTTCATAAGTTAACTGTTTGTATTTGGACAACTGTTCTGCTGTACTTTATTGGAAGGAGAAAAATAATAATTTCCTTAATAATAATTTAAACAATTTATTTAACTGAAAAATAGCATTATAGCATATCTACCCATGTTTGCTAACTGATGTGATTAAACAATTTAAAAGAAAACAACTCCGACTGAGTTTTAGCACACATGAAAAACTTAAATCCTTATTTCCTGATGAATAGCCTTTGGACTATATTGTAACTTCAATAGAAAAATATCTTTAGAAATTTTTTTCCTCCAAAAGCATTTTATTTTAAAAATCCAATTTAATTTTTTAAAAAATCTGATTTAAATTAAAAAAATATGATTTATTTCATTTTTTAAAAATCATTGATTTTTATCCACTCTGCCAATGATAGTCCATAATGGTCAACTTTTTATTATGATCAAGTCTCCAGTTTGAAAAATAATTGTAAAGGTTGTTTAACACAAAGTGTTAAAACATAACCAGAAAACACAGATATGTCTTAATTAGCCATGTCTTGATTAGGAGATTAAACAACTTATTGATTCCCAAATAAATATTTTTTTATTGTATGGGGGAAGGATGTCGATCTGCAAATCTACAAAACCAATAAAATCAGAAGAGGAAAAAAATATTAATCCTGTTCATCGTCATATTCCAGACCCTCTAGATGGCAAGTTCTGTGGTGGATCCACGCATTCCTCATTTTCAAAACGATCTGCTCCAAGCGGGAAAGGCGCTGCTCAAAGTCTCTCACTGCAATGAAACAGCATCATTTTTGACTCGGGCAAAACAACTATTGCTTCAACACACACTCTGTGACAACTGGTTTCAAATACAGGTAACTCACATCTTATGGGAAGGTTAGGTTATGGGGGTCCACGTGTATACACAAATATGTGTAAAAGCCACAAACTCCTGAATCTACACCCCTGGGTTTCCTCCACTCTCCATCTATTTATCTCCCCCACAAATTGCAAATCTGCTGTTGTAAACAAAATCTGTCCTTATTCCCTTATGGAGGGCACAAGAGCCCTTATAGAGTCCTTTGTACATTCTCCATTGGTAGGAGAAAATTACAGAGGCCAACCAGAGAATATTGAGAAGCAAAGCAGCTAGTAAGCCTGATCTTTATTAAAATGTTGCAACAGGGTGCTTCCCTCACATGTAGGAGAAAGGAGGAGGACCCAAAACAAAGGTGTGCCTGCCCTCATATAGACATTTTAAATTGCCTTCTCTGGAGCTCAAGACCACCCCGCCATACATCATACATATATCAAAGAAGGGGTGTAACTCAAGACCACCCCCCACAAACATCATACCTACATCACAGAAAAGGCGGTCTACAACAGAAATTTGAATGTTGTTGCTTTTCCTGTCTGCCAGTTTATTGATAATGCCTTATCTGATTGCCTTTCCTGGTAGTCTGGCCATTCCTTTGAGATGGTGATTACCCAATTCCTGAGGCAATGGGAAGGTTCCATCACCCCCTCACTCCTTGCAGAGAAAACATTTGGTCAGTTTGGGAGACAGAATGATTTCAGGTCGGTCTTCCTGTGCTGATCTATGTATGTGATTGGTTGGTACATTTATGAACATTTATTATATATACAGTGGTACCTCGGGTTAAGTACTTAATTCGTTCCGGAGGTCCGTTCTTAACCTGAAACTGTTCTTAACCTGAAGCACCACTTTAGTTAATGGGGCCTCCTGCTGCCGCTGCGCCACCGGAGCACGATTTCTGTTCTCATCCTGAAGCAAAGTTCTTAACCTGAAGTACTATTTCTGGGTTAGCGGAGTCTGGAACCTGAAGCGTATGGAACCTGAAGCCTATGTAACCTGAAGCGTATGTAACCCGAGGTACCACTGTATAAGACCTTAAATTTTTTATTACATGCAATCACATAAGTAAAAAAAGTGTCAAATGCATGTTACCTGTAGTGGCAAGAATGATACAGAAGTAAAAAAAACAGGAAGTATAGCAGGGTGCAAAGAAGCGAGGAAGCTTTTTTTCTGTTGAGTGTTGCATTCCCCTGGGGGTAACCTTGGGGGCACACCAGCAGTGAGGAAGGGCAGAGACAGCAGTGGGTGTAGTCAAAGCCCACCCCAATCTCCCTTTGCAACTTCAATATCAATATACTCTTTACAGTCACACACCCTCTACTGCTTGATCAAATCCCATTATTACTCAATCCATAAAAATGAGAGGTCCTCCTGACTTACTTGTGTTACTGATGGTGTACTCGATCTTCTGCATTCCAAGCAGGATCTCATCCAATGTGATCTTTTTTGGTGATTTCGGGAAATAGCGTGGATTGGTTTGTGTCTCTGCCTCCGTCCCATCAGCTGCATCTTTGGAGGTGCAGGGCCTTTCAATATCATCATCTTCCAGGGGTGGGGTGGGGGAAGGAAAGGAAAGGGGGGTGTTAGTAACATGATAGTCTCCTTGCTTTGTCGAAATCTCTTGATATATATCAACAGAGAGCTTGGAATCTATTCGATCATTGTGGATAATATTTAAGTGGGGTACAAGACTAGCTGAGTAGCAGTTGTTTGTCAAGAGGAGGTGTGTGCTGTAGCCCAAAGAAAAGCTCTAATGCGTAAAGGACACAGTGATTGGAACATATTCACTGACTCACTGGATAATATGTACTGGGAGAGAGACAAGACTAGCTGGGTTGCCCTTTTTGTTGGAAGCTGGGAGTGGCTTACTATATACAGTGTACCCTGTATAGTTCTAAGGGAATCTTTAATGTACATATTGACACAAGACACTGTGCATTCTACACTTGGAACAAGTATTGGGCGGGCAGAAGTTGGAAGGTTATAATATACTTTTCCTAAACTGATATTTTCTTGGTTTTATGCACCAACCTTGACCTTTTGATGGCCGCCGTGTTTTGTCTTGTTCCTGTATTTTTTGTGGTTCTTGTACTTTTTTTGCTTCTTGTTCTTGTACTCTTTTTGCTTCTTGTTCTTGTACTCTTTTTGCTTCTTGTTCTTGTACTCTTTTTCCTTCTAGTTCTTGTACCCTTCGTTGTTCTTGTTCTTGTTCTTGTACTTTTCTTTGTTCTTGTTCTCGCTCTTTTTCTGATTCTTTCTTTTGCTTTTGCTTTTGCTCTTCCTCTTCATCGTCGTCATCCTCCTCGTGCTCCAGTATATAAGCAACTACCAAAACAGCAAACATGCCTGAATAAATTGCCCACCTGACCAGGTAAGAAGTTGCCCTCGGTTAAACCACCCCACGTGCATAGAAGGGTTTGGAGAAAGATTGCTGCTCCATTACTCAACCCAACGCATCACCACAGAGCCATGGGTGGCAGAGGGAGGGCAGCTGTATTCTCAAAGAAGTTTGCAATGTGCAAAAGTGCTATGCTGGCTAAGCAGCTATCTAAAGCGAGAGCTTTATTTTTCATCTTGTTCCACATGGCACATCTGATCCAGCCAACTAGGCTTCTCAGCCACTTCCCACAAGTAAATCATGTGGACACAGTAAGATGGCTACTCCCAGACAGAGTCTGGATGCACACTATATATTTCAAGTACCCTTCAAGTGCATTCTCCCTCCTTCAAAGAATTATGGGGACTGTGGTTTGTAAATTATGGTGCCCACAATTATCTGATTGCTCTTTAAAGGTATAGCGTGTGCACAGTCAGAGAGAGGAACCCTGCTACTACTACTACTGTTCCACAATATCAAAAAATATCAGCCTTGATTCTTCCAAATTTAGAGCAAACTTCAGTTGCCACCAGCCTGAAGCCTGCCTGCTACAGACAGGCCTCTTTGCACACCTACGAAAACAGATGAGGAGGAGAGAAGGTTGTTCCACATTACTGTCTCCACCATGTTCTATTACGTTCTGTTACATTGTGCTGGAAGCTGCCCAGAGTGGCTGGGGAAACCCAGCCAGATAGGCGGGGTATCATTGTTAGCAGCAGCAGCAGCAGCAGCATCCCAAGAATAAACTCCTGCACAGACTGCTGTTCCAGGCTAGGACCTGCAGGGGGGGAAATAGGACCACGGTCAGCTCACAGTGGAGCCGGATTGAGTCAGGCTATATGCAAGATGCCAAGTGGTAGCAAGCTAACTGAGGCTGTGGACACATTTCCAGTTTACAATGCAAATGGGTGGTTCTTTTTCTAAATTTGGAGAAAAGCTGGTCTGAGGGGGAAACACTTCAAAAAAACGTGTTTCAGAAGAAATGATAGGAGAGATTGTGACTAATATGACATGTGGACGCTGCTTCGCAAACCAGCAGCACACTGGATGCAGGGTAAATGGGCTGGAGGCTTTAAAGCAGCGGTTCTCAACCTGTGGGTCCCCAGATGTTGTTGGACTACAACTCCCATCATCCCTGAGTTCTGGCCTTGCTAGCTAGGGATGATGGGAGTTGTAGTCCAACAACATCTGGGGACCCACAGGTTGAGAAAGGCTGCTATAGACTTGGATGCTCCCAACTCCACGGGAAACTGTCGGTGCTTAAGAGAGCCATGCTTTGTTCCTCAGGTCCTGGCTCTGACAGAGCTGAGGAACTTTCTGCTTTCCCTAGGCCACAGAGAGGTGTCTTTCTGTACTGCTGAGGGTTCTGAGGACATATCCTGAGGCTTGGAGGACAGGTCAGGGTTATCTCCTCAGGTTGTGGAGGTGAAGGCTTCATTAACGCCTGGGGACCCCCTCTGCTGAAAATCTCCAGTGGGGTAGTGGCTTCTGGAGGTCTTTCAGAGGATGGGCCCTGTGTCCAAATCTTCCCCAGCCCCAGGGTTCTGACTTCTGAGCCATGTCACCTGGACAGTCCTGTGTTGCATATGCTCCACAAACAGCCACTGCAGCTTACTGGGAGGGAGAGAGGTGACTTACTGGGAGGGGGAGAGCACAACATAAGCACATTGGTGGAGCCAATCCAGTGCTCCCGCCAGTACGTTTGCAGCTGACTGACCTCACAACCCTTTTCCCCTCTCGGTAAGCTGCGGTGATATCAGTGATGGGAGGTCAGGTAAATGTTGTCACCCCACTAACTGCTACTGCCAGAGTCCCATGGGGCAAACAACTGACATGTGAATTGTGCTGGGCTATCAGAGCATTCTGGGTTGAGTGTGCTGGAAACACAGGGGTTTCACTTCTACAGCAGTGAGGAAAGGGATAGTTGTTTGTACTTAGGACTTCTTGGTTCTTGTTTCTGGGGACTGCCGTTGGTACTTCCAGCCGCATAGGCGTGGAGGGAGGTTTGGGGGCCGGGACATTATCTTTGCAGCAGCTCCAGGCCATTTTTAGCTGTTCCCCATCCTCCGTAGAAACATCCTTCTTTTTCTCTTGGCAGAAAGGAAACCTCCCAGGCCCTCTGGTTCAGAGGCTATTGCCTGGTATCCCTCTTCTGCTGCGTCAGTGTTGGCATTCCTCTTTTGAATGGGGATCTGCAGCTTTTCCAGCCTAGAGAACAGAGTGGGAGAAGAAAGTGAGAAATGAGGGTTTGCAGTCTTCCTTCCCTACCTGCCCACATGGAGCTTTTGTAGTATGTTGTGCTTCTAGATATTTACTTCTCTATTTATTTAGGTCTGTCTCCAGCCCTAGTCCTAATCATCTTAGACCCATTGAAGTTAATAAAGGTGACTAATGTTGGTTCGTGTCAGTGGGTCTAGTCTAGTCTAATCTAGTCTGAGTACAGCTTAGTTGAATCCAACCCTTAAGAGTTTTTCTATGCTGCTTTGCATCAAGGCCATGAGCTCAAAGCAGTTTACGTAAAGCAAACATAATAAGATTTACAGAAACTCTTTTTAAAGAAAACCCACAGTAAAACAAAGATAATTGGTGAAAAATACTAAAAAAAGACTAGAGGATGAAAAATAAATCTCAACATAGCTTCCAAAGGCTTGGGGAAACAGTTTCTTAACCATTTTTGCTGCCAAGGGAGGGAAGATCATAACTGCAGAGCCACCACAGAGAAGGCCGTGCCCTGGATGCCCATTTGATAGGCCACATTCTTTGGTGGGACCACAAACAGGGCCTCCCTGTTGATCTCAGGGCTTGGGGTGATTAATGTATTAGGGCACCATCCTAACTCCTGCTGGGCAGCATCAGAGCTTGACAAATCAACAGGATTCCAATCATTCCACTCCACTCCATTCCCCTTCCCCATAGTTTTTTTCCTACCCATCCATTTCTAGTCAGCATTTCATGGCCTCTGGGCATGATCAGTCCTCATTACCACCACCACCACCCCGCCACACACACACCCAAGTTTTCCTACACAATGGGGTTTTTCCTAAATATTTTTTTATATTTTGGCAAACCTTGGAGTTGTCCCAAGCCTGCTGATACATTTCTCTTGTGCGCAGATGGTGCCATTTTGGTTACATGAGGAACTGCACTCACAGCCTGAACATTGGAAATAGAGGGGATTATATTTCTTTCTTTTCCTTTGGAATTATACTTCTAAGCACAGGTGGGAGCAGTTTATGGAATTGTATAATATGCAATCAAAATCCTTTTTCCTCAATATTGCCTGCTGGAGCTTTGAAGGTCCCCACAAAGGAAAAGGCAAGCCATTTTAGTTGAAGCATTTAAACTGGTTCCAGTGATAATCTTTTGAAATTAATCCTTTCAGTGTTGAGGAGCCCCCCCCCTAGAATAGCTTTGAACAAGCCTTAAAGAGCAATAGAACCAGAAATCACTAACAAATCCTCAAGTGTGTGTGTGTGTGTGTGTGTGTGTGTGTGTGTGTGTGTTTTCTGTCTGTCTCCAGGAAGAGTTTACAGAATGCTTCATTGTCACAAAAGCAACGTCTAGAAAAGAGAAGTATTTTAAGATTTAACAAATTTACTGTCCAGCACCTTACCAAATTGGGAGCACACATGACCTAACATTGATATGTTAGGTATTCATGTACATCGCTTCTTACTGAACTGTGCAGATGATTCTAAGCACACCCAAATAACCTATCATTTCACATTGCCTGCAATTTCTAGAGGATTCTGTGTTTTCTATATTTCACCGTCCCTCTCCCAGCAGTTCCACTCATGTCCGGCACTTGGTTAAGAACAGAAATAGGAGTTCCAATCTTTGGAGAGTTTGGTAACAGCAGCTGGTGACAAGTCCTTCTATGCAATTAGGAAGTCTCGTCTCATCTGGGTCTCATACACAAAAAGCAGGTTTCCAGTCCTATTAGTTTAAAATCAAGTTAGACTAAAAATATAGCAATTATGGAAATGTTAACAAAATGAAAGAGATAAGCATCAAACACTTACTCTCATAGAGGACCTCTGGTCATCTAATAGGTGGGCCAGCAGAGGGAGGTGTCACAATGAAGGTCATGTCACTGTTACCTTAGCAACCTGGGTCAGCCAGGGGCATTGTTACTCTTAATATGAACACAGGTGCTGTGGTTTCTAATTCATTCAGTTCGTTATGCATATTTTTGCTTTTCATTCAGGCAAGATTTGCCCATGTGCCTGCTAGACATGGCAGAGTTTATTTGTGTATATGGGGCTTATGTAGGATGTCACCACCACACATCCTGCAAATACCATTTTAAATGTCCCTTCTGGCAATGCACATAGGGATTTAGAACAGCCCAAAGGCAGCTGTTGTACTGTGTTGTCTGGCATCCGTCCGTCTCAGGAGAAAAGGGAAGAGTGCACATTCAGGGCTGAAGTCAAACCATTGGAGAGTTACAGTGCCTGCTGTGTCTGTAGAGAGACATGTTTTGTTGCAGCTGGGGCAGATAAAGGTGTCTGGTTGTGCTGTTGCAGAAGCACCATAGCATTTCTTCTCTCTGTGCTCCTCCCAGCTGTCATTCCTCCTCTGGCCAATGTGGATACAGGACCTGACTGTCTGTCTCCAGGCACTGGGATTGCCTGCAAGGGATTCCCACACGGCGGAGTTAATGTTGCCAGCATTCATATCACATCTGCAGACTGAAGCCAGCTCCCCATGCAACACACCCTTGGAGATCCTGCAAGCTTCCATTCTGTGGACATGACCAAGCATAGACTTTGCTGAGACACAAATGACAACATACGGGGAATGGGGCTTGGGAGAGCACATCTTTGAGATTCTGCCCTGCCATGTGATGCCCAAAATCTTCCTGCTGCACCCCATGTGGAAGGCGTTAAGGCATTGGTCCTGGCAGGTGTTAGTTGTCCACAAATCTATATGTGTTACTGAAAAATATAGAAAATGATCTTTCAGTTATGCATCTTGGTGTGAGCTCACCACACTCTTTGGGCAAAAACCCATGTATTTGTGGATTGTGGGTGCATGTATGAATCTACTACCCTTTGATGTGACATTTCTGCTGCCATTGGACCTTACTGGCATCTAAGTTTTTTTGATGATCAATCAAATCCTCACTTGGCCATGAAGCCCATTGTCTCTTAGCCTAGCCAAAGAGGTTAATTAAGGTGCTAAAAGTGGAGGCGAGGGATCTATGGCAGAGCTCCTTAAAGAAAAGTTGGGAAATAAATTAGATCTCAGGAAGAGCAAGAAGCCCTTGTCTTTGTTGCCACCATTTGTGGATAGTCGGGGGAGAACACACTGCTCAGTAGGGGCTTGAAACTGCGTGCACTATGCACTGTGCCTTTTAAGCACATTCGAAGCAGATTTCCCCCCTCAAAGAATTATGGGAACTGTAGTTTAAGGGTTGCTGGGAACTGTAATTCTGTGAAGTGTAAACTACAGGGTCCAGAATACTTTGAGAGACAAAATGCATTTGGAATGTGCTTCCAAAGCATAGGCCAGTCACTTATTTCTCAGCGCGTTTCCCCTGTATACAGACCTTTCGCGATGTTAGAGGCAAGTCGCTTTCCATTGGTTTACGAGGGACCGCCTTCTACCTTCTGATTGGTGGTAACTTTGTCGTTTCGCGCTCTTGATTTGTTGTGGTCGAAGAAGGGCGGGGGTAGAGGAAAAGGTAGGCTCTTGCTTCGTTTCTGATTGGGCACTTGAGACCTCGTTTCCTCCCGGCCTCTGAGGTTAGCGGAGAAGACGCGAGCTGCTTCCGCCCGGTTCGCTCTTTTCCGCGCGTGCGCACTGCAAGGGGGCAAGAGGGATCCTTTGATGTTGAGCCGCGCGGTTCGCCTGGGGTCGCGTCCTTTGGGGTTTCGTGGTTCAAGCCAAGCGGGGAAATCGTCTCGTGCCATGGATCTGACGCACCTTCGGAAAGACTACAGGGGGGACGATGAGGTGAGGGAGCAGCATTAAACCCCAAAACATGTTTTTGCACTGCAGCGTTTCGGGGCCGGGGAATGCTGAAGGACAGAGTGCCTCTGAGCTTGTGCAGAGTGCGCGGCGTTTCTCGGGCCAGCGCTTAGCCTCGCAGTTTGACTTTCGCTCCGAAAAGAATCGCAGCGTAGTAATAAAGGTGTTGTTTCTGAGTATATACAGAGTGGCTGAGCATATATAGAGACGCTCGCTTGTCTTAAGACAAACAGATGCTGAAGGTATAAGAGAGTTGTGGAAAAATAAATGCCCACTATCTATTACATAATGGTCTGAGGGTCTCACTACCCAGTTTGTATTTGATCTAACCTATTTCATATAGATCTAACATATTTCATATAGGCATCAATTTCAGGTGGATTTCTATGTGGACATCTAAAGGGCTTATTTAAAATTTGTTTACTGGTGGTTACTGTACCTACCTGCATTGTAGTCTATCATTATTGGCATATTATTATTTGCCGTTTCAATTTTTTCCTCTTCTCTCTCTTTATTTTTTCAATTTTCTTTCATCTTTCCTTTTCCTTCTCACTAAATTTGCAAGTAAACTAATAATAGAATCTCCTTGGTGTTTGAAGCTGTGAACAAGGGATTAGATCAAATTGAAATTGCATTTAGAATCCCTTTGAAATCACCGGGGCTTACATTAGTCATGGCTTCACATCTAATTTAGGCTGGAACCCACCCAAGTCATCCAAAGCAAATATTAAGAGACAAGGTAGAGAGCTTTTGCTTCAAATTAAGCACTATGAGACTGGGTCCAAAAGGTTGGGTGGGTGTGTCAATTGATAGATGCAGGTAGGTTTGGAGGAAAGGGTCAGGTGATGATTATGGAACCCATGAAGGTTGGGAGGATGAAACAATTGGGGAATATCGAAAGGAGGGAAGGATAAATGGAAAGGGTTGGTGAGTTTACAAGAACACAAAAGGTGATGGAGAAGCAGTAGGATATGAGAAGTGATATATGTGTGACTGAAAGGGGAGAAGAACTGGCATCAAATGGTGTAAGGTAAAGTAAAGGGACCTCTGACCATTAGGTCCAGTCGTGACCGACTCTGGGGTTGTGGCACTCATGTCACTTTATTGGCAGAGGGAGCCGGCGTACAGCTTCCGGGTCATGTGGCCAGCATGACTAAGCCGCTTCTGGTGAACCAGAGCAGCACACGGAAACGCCGTTTACCTTCCCGCCAGAGCGGTACCTATTTATCTACTTGCACTTTGACGTGCTTTCAAACTGCTAGGTTGGCAGGAGCAGGGACCGAGCAACAGGAGCTGACCCCGTCGTGGGGATTCGAACCGCCAACATTCTGATCGGCAAGTCCTAGGCTCTGTGGTTTAACCCACAGCGCCACCCGTGTCCCACCCATGTTGGAGAAGCAGTAGGATATGACACACTGACCACATTTTGGAAATGAGAAGTGATAGATGTGTGACTGAAAGGGGAGAAGAACTGGCGTCAAACGGTGTAGCCACCTGCTAAAAATGTGGGTGTTTTTTGTTCCCATCCCAGGCCTTTGAGGAGAAACATCTGACCTCCCTTAACCCTATTAAGCAGTTCTCTGTATGGTTTGAAGAAGCTATGAAGTGCCCATCTATTGGGGAAGTCAATGCCATGTGCTTAGCCACCTGTACTAGGTATGAATCATTGCCCGATGGCTTGTATCCTTGTTGCTTTGTGGGTTTGGGGGACCTGGGGCCAAAGTAGAGAAGAAATATTTGCCTATCTACATGCTGTGTTTATCCCTTCCCAGAGACGGACGGCCTTCTGCTCGGATGCTTCTTTTGAAGGGGTTTAGCCAGGAAGGCTTTCGCTTCTTCACTAACCATGAGAGCCGGAAAGGGAGAGAGCTGGTGAGTGCTACTTGTACAGAAAGATTATCGGAGAAAAGTTGAACCTTTGTAAACTGGCACCTCAGATTTACTTCTATGGAGCTGACACTTTGAATCCAGGCTTCTTATTTTTTAAGTGAAACAGCAACAATCCTTTAGGATATCTACATTTTGTGACCAATATCAATTACGCAAAGTTAGGAAAATTGCAAATATTTGCCTATTCTGCTTCCATTTTGCTGTGGGAACATACATAAGCACCTATGCAAGCTACTGAGGGGGAACTGGAAGTCTCATAGAAGCTATCTATGGAGTCTTAGTTTTTGCCGGCTCAGCAACAAGTGACCCTGAGCTAAACTGGGCCAGCCAAAGGGTTATGAGTACAAATTCCTCTTCCTTCTGCAAATAGACAATTCAAGCAGCAAGGAGCAGAGAGAGAGAGAGAGAGAGAGAGAGAGAGAGAGAGGCTGACTGAAAAGAAAAGTACAACAAAAAACTCTTCAGTCTAAGAACCTCCTTCCAGATCATCCTTGCCTTTTAGCTTAGGGAATCCAGGTGTCTCTGTGTAGACACCCAAGTTTAAAGCACTTTCCCCCACCCCCAAAGAATGCAGGGAACCCTACCTCTCACACAGCTACAATTCCCCACAAACTACAGTTCCCATGATTCTTTGTGGGAAGTCACATGCTTTGAATATATGATATATACACAGCCTTAGTCAGCAGACACAGCAACTTTCTTTTCACTGTTGCTTTTCTCACCGTTTGCAGGATTCAAACCCATTTGCTTCGATGGTCTTCTACTGGGAGCCCCTCAATCGCCAGGTAAACTGTCTTCTCTGCATCTACTGAAAAGAAGTCCTGTAGTCAAACTGGAAACCTCTGTAATACATGGGGTGGGTGACATGGTAAGAGGAGCTTTGGTGAACTTTTGTCCTGGTTGCTCCTTTTCATTTTCCCAGTTGCTGCTTATATGCTCTTGAGTCTGACTATATGTAGCCAGGGCTTGGGCAGATGGACAAGGGCATGATCTTGCTGTAGCTGGAGGCTCTTCCTCTCTCGCCTGTTCTGTGGAAGATGCTGAACTGTGATCTCAAATATGGAAGGGATTGAAGTGTCGGTACTTGAGTTTGCTTCAGCTCTTGTATCTACTGAAAATGAAATAATCCCTTTGGAACAGCTTAGAGGGAGTACTGTGGTTATCCTCTCTGGTTTGTAGTGAGTCTGAATTTTGGAACCAGAAACTGCTATTCATTGCTGTGTGTCTTGTTCTTTCAGTCATCTCCTCCCTACTGTCTTTCAGCTCCCTTTCAGCTCAGAGAGCCACCAACACGAACAGGGCACCTTAAAATGTGGCCATGGGAAAGACCCCCATAGCGACTAGAAGTCGTGTCCTTTCCCTCTCTGCGGCCATCTCTCTGTGCCATAGAGAGGCCATAGAGTCTGTGGGATGTGAGCTTGCTATTCCTCCTCTCTCAAGATCTAATGATAGACAGCTGTTCCCACCACTGCAAGGCAAGAAGCAACATGCTAGATGGAACAAGGCCATGGGCCACATCTGGGCCACAGGCATCCGGAAGTGTAGGGTGGGAGAAAAGAACTTTTAATTAATCATATTTGGTTTCATGGACAATAGAGGGGAAAAATGACGTGGAATAGGAAAGTTTGGAATGAGCCTGTTTTTAACTTGGCAATTTGATGGGTTTAAGAAGTAAGAGGGAATGTTTGCCTATGCAAGATTAAGTAGGTTGGAGAGACCTTTTTTGAGCAGTGCTTCACACAGAAAACAAGCAAATCAGAAGAGTTGGAATTGTCCAATTAAGTTTTAAAAATTAAGTTTTCCATCTCCACCCACCTTCTCTTTTCTCAGTTAATTCCACCATATTGGAGAGGAGCTTGGGGTAACTATGATTTGAACTACACAGCAAAGCCTCCTTACTAGCACATCCTCACTCTGGTCTTGTGCTTCACATGCTTTGAATTGCTTGCAGGTACGGATTGAGGGCCCTGTAGAGAAGCTTCCTGAGGAGGAATCGGAGAAGTACTTCTATACGCGTCCAAAGAGCAGCCAGATCGGGGCTGTAGTGAGTCATCAAAGCACGGTGATTGCGGACAGAGAGGTGAGGATCTGCAGTGTTGGGCTGCCCTTTCTTGAACCAGCGTTGGGGGTGGGGAAACAATGTTGAAATATGCCTTTTCATGATAAGCTGGAGAGCTTGGGTGTACGTTGTTAGACGCGGTAACAAAAATAATAATCTGTAAACGGGTATCAAAACTTCCTTAACGTAGAAGGTTCTCAAGGTGGACTGCTCGTCATCAGGGATATTGAAGAACAATTTCAAACATGGTTCTGCACAAAAGTTGAAAGCTCCTCCACAACATAGGCATCCTGTAGTACAGCGGTGGGGAATGTCTGGCCCCTGGGCTTCATCATTTGACTTGCCGGGCCATTTCAGCTGATATGATTTCATATGATGTTGGATAATGGTAGGGCTCGGCCAGAAGGCTCTCTGATGGCAGTGCCTCTATATCCCCTGTGCAAAGCACTGTGCAAGCCATGCTTTAAGAGCAGCTTCCAAAGACCCCTGCAGTCAAAAAAGCTCAGGCAATTGACAAATGGGCAGCTTAAACTTGGCGCGGGAGATGGGCTAGAAAGGTTCCCCAACTCTGCTACAGTAGATATCCAGTGTGTTAAGACTTATTGTAGTTGAGCTTGAGTTCTTAACAGCCATTTTTTACACAAATAACTTTTAGATTTGTCTATAATAGGTGTGGGGGTATAGGTGTTTGGGTTTCTTTTTTTGGGGGGGGTGTCTGAGCATCACCAGCCTTTCTTCTGTGAAATGGGTTTTTTTTTGGTGGCCATGGCAGTTCCTTAGATTTCCATCTGTGTCCCTGGGCTCCAAAATGTTGTGGATTCCTGGCATGTATCATTACAGTTTACCTTGCAGATCATTTGGCTGGAAGGTGGGATATAAAACTTTTAAATAAATTTGTAATAAATACATCTTTATCTTTATCTTTATTGGTTTAAAATACAGTCTTATAATAAAGGTAAGTACAACAAAGTTAAGCACAGAAAAGAAAAAAGGAAAAGAAAGAAAAAGAATTATCCACATCAAAAAGTACAAAAAGTTTAAAAGTAACAAGAAAAGAAAAAGAAAATAACAATTAAAAGTATCAGATATTTATGCAACATCATTTCTTATCCAATAATGTCTTCTGTGAAAAGCTTCCAATCGTTCTCATTATACTTTTTCTATTAAAACTTTTAAATAAATTAATAGTCTAGTCCTAACACCACCCATTATCCACTGAGCTTGTCCCTTGGCATCCTCTCCCTCCAGTTCTCAGCAAACGACCTGCTCGTTAGCCATCCTTACTAAGTGCAGATTATCCGCAAGCCTCTCTATATCCCCAAATCACCTAGTAGATTGGAGTTATTACCAAGCTCCCAGGTAGTTTCCTTTTGACGAAAAGCTTCACAGCCCTTTTCCTCTTTTTGTTAGTATTTAAGGAAGAAAAATGCAGAGCTGGAAGAGATGTACCGAGAGGCTAAGGTGCCTAAGCCAGCGTATTGGTGAGTCAGGCCTCAGTGTGCATTCTGGCCGTTTGGTTTTCTGTATGTTGTCCCCCCACAAGTTTTTCAGAAACTTGTGATCTTTTTTACAGTGGTGGATTGGGCTGGTTGGAATAAATTCAAGCCAAAGGAAATTGAGGAATGTAGGTTGTGGCAAACACCACAGCAGGGATTAGTAAAGGTAAAGGGACCCCTGACCATTAGTTCCAGTCGTGGCCGACTCTGGGGTTGCAGAGCTCATCTCGTTTCATTGGCCGAGGGAGCCGGCGTACAGCTTCCGGGTCATGTGGCCAGCATGACTAAGCCGCTTCTGGCGAACCAGAGCAGCGCACGGAAATGCCGTTTACCTTCCCGCCGGAGCAGTACCTATTTATCTACTTGCACTTTGACGTGCTTTTGAACTGCTAGGTGGGCAGGAGCAGGGACCGAGCAACAGGAGCTCACCCCGTCGCAGGGATTCGAACAGCTGACCTTCTGATCGGCAAGTCCTAGGCTCTATAGTTTAACCCACAGCGACACCTCTACAGCAGGGATTAGAGAGTAGCTAAACCTCTTGATTTATTTCCGCACCCCCTGAGGTTTGTTTATATAGCTCACACAGCCCTATTACCAATTGGCAAGTTGGTGCTTTGTTGTTTTAGGGTTCTTTCTTTCAGTCTCTTTATCTCTCTCTCTCTCTCTTATCCCCTCCAGGGGAGGCTACATCTTGAAACCAAAAGTCATAGAGTTCTGGCAGGGCCAGACAAACCGTTTGCATGACCGCATTGTTTTCCGGTACCTCCAAGACAGCAGTGCACCCTTGAAACCTATGACCCACAGAGGAGAGGACAACTGGATCTACGAGAGGCTGTCTCCTTGAGAAGCTTGTAGAGTTCACCCTCTCTCTTTTTTAAGTGCCAAATCCTTTGTTCCCCCACTTGCCTCTCAGACAGAGCACCCAAAGAACCGCTGGACAAAGTCATAGACTGGGGAGACCTGGAATTGAAATCCTTGCAGTGCTGTTCAGTCAGCTGCTAACTCTCAGCCTAGCCTACCTTACAAGGTACTGGTGAGGATAAAGTGGTGGTAATCTCTGTGTGAACCATTGGAAGAAAGGCAGGTTGAAGCAGCCTAAACATTATTGCGGAGAAGGGCAGTGCAAACTTGTAGCATGGGCTTCCTCCTACACACAAAGCACAATCCCGACCGTTCTGTTTTAATTTTGAAATTGTTCTTTTTTATTTTGGGGCCCGCTAGCAGCACTGGTTCCTACAATCCCTGAGATCAGTGTCCTTGATTATTTTGTGTGTTTGTCCATTCCACCAGCAATCTCACTCTTGTATATGCACTAAGCATTCTAGGACTGGTCATTCTTGAGAGTATGTCACATTAAGGAAGCACAAATCTCTCTTTCTCTCAAATTGCATGTTCTACTTGAACTGTGCAAGCATTCATTCTGATCTAGAGAAGGACCTGAGCCAGCAAGTCACTGTTTCAGGATGTTGCTTGTTTGACTAGCAATCTCACGAGATCTGGACAACAGATGCATAGGAAACAGGGAAATAAGTTGGCATACATATATCCTCAAGCATGGTCTGCACTTTATTTAGCCTCAGTAATTTTCCTTGTAATTGGGTTGCAACCTGGGCGAGGCCCTCATGGATCTCTGAGCCCTGTTAAAAGGTACCTGCCAAATAATAACAATAACAATAATAATAATAATAATAATAATAATAATAATAATAATTTTTATTATTTACACCCCGCCCATCTGGCTGGGTTGCCACAGCCATTCTGGGCTACTTTCAACACACATAAAAACATAATACAGTGGTGCCTCGCAAGACGAAATTAATCCATTCCGCGAGTCTCTTCGTCTTGCGGTTTTTTCATCTTGCGAAACGGCTATTAACGGCTTAGCGGCTATTAACGGCTTAGCAGCTATTAACGGCTTAGCGGCTATTAACGGCTTAGCGGCTTTAAGAAAAAGGAAACAAACTAGCAAGAACTCGCAAGACGTTTCGTCTTGCGAAGCAAGCCCATAGGGAAATTCGTCTTGCGGAACGACTCAAAAAACGGAAAACCCTTTCGTCTAGCGAGTTTTTCGTCTTGCGAGGCATTCGTCTTGCGGGGCACCACTGTAAAACATCAAACATTAAAAACTTCCCAGTACAGGGCTGCCTTCAGATGTCTTCTAAAAGTTTAATCTCCTTTTGCCCATCTCATATATTTGGGCCCTGGAGGTAACAATATGTCAGGGTATGACTGCACTACAGATTTTTTAACTATTCACACATTTAGCTAACATTTCTCACAAAGTATAAAACTTGGGGATTTTCAATCCCCTAAAGCTATACTTTCCAGAGTTAGAGGTGCTGGTGGGAGATCATTAATTACCTGCCCTTCAGCCTAAGGTCACAGGGCAAGTTACAACATTAGAACACGATATTAAAAGCAGTTTAAAACAACTTCTTGACTTTTCAGACTGGCTTAATGCTGTGGCTAGCAGATGTATCTGTGTGGTTCTGCATTAGAATGGAGCAGATAGGCTTAGTTCAGTTTCTATAAATTCACTATATCAGGCATGATTAGAAGAGGCTTGTGGTCTGTGTTGAAGAGGACCCAGATTCTGAAACCAGCAGAAATGAAAATTGGGAGGTCTGTTAAGTGGGCAACCAAGATGGAGTTGGAAGAGACCTCCCAAATTGTCCAGTGTGCCCAGTGCAGAAAATGCAGTAAAACAACATAGGCACACATATGTGGATTCTGGTGCAAGGACTGGGAGTGGTGGAAGGGGAATAGACCAGCACTTATTACAACCAAGGGTGTGCAAGGACTATAGGTTCAGGAGCTTAAAGGTGTGGGGCTGTGGTAGCACATATACTTTGCATGCAGATTCTAGATTCAGTCCGGCTGAAATTGCAGAGAGCTGCTTTCAGTCAGCGTGGACAGTACTGAGCAAGATTGGCTAATGATCTGACTTTGTATAAGGCAGTTTCCTATGTCCCCATGAACTAGAAAGGCTTAATGGGGCGGAAGACAGGTGGATGTTCTGCTCTGTCTTCCCTTCCTTTTTGCTTCTGTTTTCACTGCCCCCCCCCCACATTTTTCAACCTTCAATCTATAAAAGCTAGGAACTCTTTAAAGCAAAAAAGGCCTGAGATACTTGGGATGTGGAATTCTGACCTGGGTATCAGATTCCATGCTTACCTGACAGTCCCTGGGACAATCAAAGAGTTTGAGTCCAAAGTTGATCTTCCATTTATTTAAAGAGGGAGGTGATTTCTACCAAGCTTTTGCAACTGCAGTTCTTCCACATCACTTGCCAGGCCTCCCTAATCCATAGCAGATGGGTGTACGGTAGGAAAGAGGCAGGAAATCCCCATTTCAGTAACATTTTAAGGAACTCCTGTTCCTGCCTTGAGGTGTTATCTCCCAGTGTGACAACTTACATGCGCTTTGTGGTTCTTCCGTAGACAAAACTGGAAGTGCAACAGTAAATACATTAGTCACTGATCCTAATGGGTCAGAGACGTGCTTTGGGGTGTGTGTGTGTGTGTGTGTGTGTGTGTGTGTGTGTGGTGCTCTGTTAATGTTCTTTGTGAAGGTCTTAAAAGTACTGGATATTGTCCTGATAATTCCTGTTGTTGCTCTGTCTGGGCAGTCCGGCGTCTATAAGTGCTGCTGTGTACCAACCTTTGAGTCTGTGCCTATGTACATTTGGACAGTAAAAGTTCAGCCTGGTGAATGATAGTTGAAGGTGAATGTGGATTAATATTAACTTCTGTCCTGTTCCCCTCCCACAAAAAGTGTGTGTGTCGTCTTTCCTGCCTCCAGAAGTGCTCTGGTGGGGGACATGTCATGCTCCTTCTGGGGTAGCTTCCCCATCCTTGGTCCACACCCTGCTCTCATCTCTCACCTGTGGCTCCTAGAACTGTCAGCGTGCGGCAGTGGCCACACCCTGGGAAATTGTGTTGACTGGCTGGCTGGCTAAACCAGGTGTGGGTAGCCACTGGGTCTCAAGCCCTTGCTGAGTTAGCGAGGGGCAGAAGTGGCTCATCAACCTGGAAAGTTAGCCCATCTACTGTAGGAGAAGGAAAACTGATACCTAGTCATGAGAAAGACTTCAGGTGTAAACGCAGAGGGAAAATCGGTACCCTTTGCCTTGCAGTACATCTTTAGGAGAAGAAAAAGCGCTAAGGAGTAAAGGCTTCACAACTCTGAAGTGATGGCTGCCTACGGTTGGTGAAAATCATATGCTGAAACTAACCCCAGGCTAAAAGCAAGCAATTTAATCTTGGCAACTTTAAAAACTTCTCCAATGAAACTCTTAAGAGCACTGGTAAAAGAGGTTTGGATTCAGCTGACGAATGCCTGAAAGGAGGGAATTCCAGAGGGAAACCCCTGTGAGCATTTGTGGCCTTATTACATAAGGCACAGAGGGTGAAAAGTGGAAATACTGGATTTCTCTTCTGGTTTTACCTTGTCATCTACACCGCCCCCCCCCCCCGGCATGCTGTTCTTCTACATTCCACCAGGTGGAGTTAGCATGGGCTTTTCTCTGGTGTGCAGCCCAAGTCAAGTATCGGTTTGCTCTCTGTTCATTCTTTGGGTTGCCTCCCAGTGAAACTGCATCCCTGATAACCTTTTGCCCTCTCTCAGCTCCCGGCACATATTTGCCTTTTCAGTCATTGCTCCTTCGCTTGCTAATCGAGGGCTAAGATCTGCCAGAGCAGTTCACGTTTGATGATGGGATTCCCTAAAGCCTGGGAGAGCCCCCTCCTGCCTTGCCTCTGGAAACACCCCTTTCTGGAATGCTCCTGAACTTTCGCTTTCCTTGTTTGAGCCTGAGGCTTCACGTTGTCACTGCGGTGCCTGGAGATCAGAAGCATATCCTGAACCATGCAAAGCAATAAACAAGAGAACACCGTCCCTGATCATGTGTGAAACCATGCACACAGACACACACAGATCGCTTGTGCATTTGTGAATTAGGTAAGAGGTCCCAAGTTGGAAGGTGTGGGTTCCAGTAAATCTGAGCCTTAGTGCATCAAGTTTTAGAAACGTAGGGTATATTTTTGCTAAAAAGTGATGGGACATCTTAAGAGAACCGATGTAGTGTTGTGCTTAACATTGTTAACTATGGCCTGGAGAACTAGGCTTCAAATCCCCACCCAGCCTTGAAGCTCACTGGGTGGCCTTCAGCCAGTCACCATTTCTCGGGCTAACCTACCTCACAAGATTGTTATAAAGATAAAAGTGGGAGAGAGGAGAACCATTGAGATCTTTGCAGGAAAGGTGGGATATAAATGTAATAACTGGTCTCTTAAGAGACCAATCGGGCCATTCTGCATATTTCTGACAGAGGGTTGTGTTGCATCTATTGGCACATTTATTTAGGTGTAAATCCCATTGAACCACATGAAGTTTGCTCTTTAGTAAACCTACAAGGGACACTGGTTTGTATGTCTTGCTTTCTCCTTCCTGAAAAAATGTAGCGCCTGGATCCCCCCCCCCAGTTAAATATATTATAAATATGTGCCCACTTTGTGAACAGAGATGTAGCCAAAGTCCGTCGTCTCTGAAGTACATTGCTAATGAGATACTTGAGCTCTATAGAATCCAATTAAATCGCAAAGGGGTAGTGATGTGATGCTCAAATCTGAGCTGGGTTTGATTGTAGGAGACTCCACATCACATTACTGCTGAGCCAGACAACCTTGGGCCCTAACCTCTACATCCCAGGGTTGAGCTGAGGTCATAATGAGGCGAACACTGTAAAAGTTCCTGGTACACTGTAAAAATGTGCCACAAAGATGATTATCCTTTGCCCATGGGCATTCGAGGAGGCCTCTTAATTTTGCTTCCTGCTTAGCTGGGACCCTGGAGCAGAACTGCAGGACTCTTGGCCTCTCCTTCAACCTACACAATGAGATATTTGCAAAGAGGAAATGCTGGGCCTCTTAATATCAGAGGAGAGGGTATTTTAATTCTCCACCAGGATTTGCATCTCATGCCTGCATTCAAAAAAGAGCTGTTAAGCTTTGTGACTATACCTTGGTTTTGGTTTGGGAATATCTGCTAGTGGTTCAGAGCCAGGAAGAAAGCTTTCTCTGCTGCTTCTGGAAGACAAGCAGTAGCAAGGGGCCCTGTCTCTCCCCAGGCACCGAATACAAACTGCATAAGACAGATGAAGTAACAAACATATTGGTTCTGTACTGAGTGAGCACCCAGGAAGGCCCATTTACCAGGCAAGACAGTGTCATGCTGAGGGCATTTTCAGTATTTCCCTGATCCTCAGATTCTTGTGTACAGTAGCATGATGCATACCACAACACACACAAATGCCTGGTTATTAAGCCCTAGTCTGTACATGCAAACGGTGGTGCAGAAGAGAGAGAATGGTCTGAAAACACTTTGGATTGCAGGTAGGTGATCGTCCCTCTGTTAAAACTTCCTTCATACAGAAATCCACCACAGCAGGCAAAGAGCTGGATCTGTCTTCCTGCTCTGTTGACTTTCTATTTGCAGGGTTGTATTTTTAATGTTTTTGAGGGCTTCAGGATGCTTCTGAGGTCAAAAAAGTTTGAAGAAATCCTTCTGTAAAGAATTTTTACTTTGCACCAATGTGTAGGTACTGTCCTGCCTTCCCCAAACTGGTAACCTCCAGATAGTTTGGCCTACAACTCCCATCAGCCCCAGCCAACATGGCCAATGTGAAGGGATGATGGGAGTTTTTAGCTGCAT